ATAAAACCGTACAATTTTGTTGAAAACATTATATATTTTGCCCATATTAAGAAAAGGGATTTATCCCTTTTAAAAGTTAGAAAGGAGGGGAAACTGATACTAGAGGCAGGACTAGGTTTAAGGCAATACTTAGCACTTTTCCTCTCTATGAAGCAAAAATCTGAGAAAAGGTTTGCATGAGTAGGAGTCCTGCAGCAGCCCTGTGAAGATGAGAACAGCTTTTTCTTTGAGTACAAATACTTTTATAGGAAAGGATTCAAAACATTGAAATTTAAGTTGCATAAGACCACTACTAGCTTATTTTTATTTTACCCTTTGCTCAAATGGTAGACTATCAGATAAAGAGGAATGATTGTATTTTGTACTTTATGAATCTAAAAAACCATCTTTTGCAGAAATGGCTCACTAGAAGCTGGGCCCTTGGTGGCTCATGCCTCTAATTCTAGCTACTCAGGAGGCTGAGATCTGAGGTGTAAGGTTCAAAGCCAGCCAGGGGGGGGGGGAGAGAGAGAGAGAGAGAAAGAGAGAGAAAGAGAGAGAGAGAGAGAGAGAGAGAGAGAGAGATGCTCTAAGTTCAAAAGTCCTAGCTCCAGCACACGAAAGAAAGGAGGGAGAGGGAAAATGGGAAGAAAGGACAGAGGGAAAGCAAAGCAGGTAGGCAGGCAGAGGAAAGAAAGGCCCACCACAGAAAAACCCTGCTTTTCTCCATGGCTTATTCCACCTAAGCGTTGGGTCTATGCATCCAGAAAGCCAATCACTGGGTTGCTTATTTGTGTGGTACTCAGACTAAAGTGTTTATGATATCAGTAGCTTCTACCACGATTAGATTCTGTTAACAAGATGCCAAATTTGTGAAGATCATACTAACACTCAAATCTCCAAAGATGCTGTCAGCTCACAGCTCTGAGATCCTTTTCTTGGGTTTCACTATCTCTTTTTCCACTTGCATTTGCATTAAACTTCCCATTAAATTGCTCAGGTCTACCTCTCATCAGTGTAACATCTCACTAAACAAACTAAACTGTTAAAGGTCGATCAAGGTCCTGCAAGACAAAGACACCTTGTTTCTCTAAGTGGCATGTTTTCCATAGGCTTAATAGGGACAGACAGAAGAGGCACTTTTGTAGAGATCCAGTAGAATTTTACTTTGGCTTAGGATTCTGGAGGTGCAAGGTCTAGGGTTTCATCTAGTGTGTCCTTCGTGCTGCCAGAATGCCAATACATCACAAATCATAGGAGCACAAGTATATGTGCGTATGTCTTTAAGTCTTTTCTCCCTTTCTCCTGAAGCTACCAGGATTCAACCATAGAGACGACCCTAATGCCTAACCTAACCCTCATCACTTCCTAAAAAGTCCACCTTTGAACACATTGTTTGTACTAAGATATTATCTTCTTAATACCTGACAACAGAAACTTTATTTTACCATATGAAACCATTAAGGAAACTCAGATCCAAATGGCAGCTTATTTAATAAGCTTCCAATTAACTACCCATTGGACCACTGGTTGTCTACACTGCAAGGCCAGACCCCTTTCCTCCTGCCTTTCAGCCAGGCTGGTGAGCGCGCGCGCACACACACACACACACACAGACACAGACACACACACACACACACACACACGCCCCAAAGGGTAGTAAACTTTAAATATAAAAAAAAAGTCTTACATGATTAAATAAAGTAGACTGAAAACACACACACACACACACACACACACACACACACACACAAAGGGTGGTAAACTTTAAATATAAAAAAAAAGTCTTACATGATTAAATAAAGTAGACTGAAAATCCAAAATACATTTATGCATCTTCTTCTGTTCCCACAAAAGGGGAGGGCTGACAAGTTTGCAATATTTATGAAGACATGATGAATGGGAAGTGATCAAGTACCCTAGTTAGAAACTAGGGAGATGAGGGCTGGGAAGGTGGCTCAGTGGTAGAGCGCTTGCCTTGCATGCCTGAGTCCCTGGGTTCGATTCCTCAGCACCACATAAGCAAAAAGAAAAAAGCCGGAAGTGGCACTGTGGTTCAAGTGGTAGAGCGCTAGCCGTGAGCTGAAGAGCTGAGGGACAGGGCCCCAGGCCCAGAGTTCAGGCCCCACGACCAGACCCAAAAAAAAGAAAAAAAGAAAAAGAAACTAGGGAGATGAGGCAGTAGATAGGGTAAAGGAAAGAAACTACGAGAGAGGCAGCCACCACGTGACAGAGCCTGGAAAGGCCTATGCTTAGAAAGGAGATGTGTAAGGTGGACTGAAAAATGGAGCATGAACTCAAGGGTTGTAAGAGGAGTTAGATCCCTAACTTAGCCAACTTAATCCAACATACACTTACCTAAGTGTCCCTACTAGAGGAGTGCAGAGCATACAGAAAACAGGAGGGAGAATATTAAACTCTACATACTGAACAGAGAGATGGTAGCAGCAAACCTTGATTCCTAGATATCAGATGAAAAGGTTCTTTGAGAAAACTGACCTCAGAGGAAAGCCAGATGCTGACTGTCTGCTTCATATAGATAGCATTATAAGCCAACAAGCTTTGTCCATCCTGTAACACATGGCTACACACAACTGCTTTTTAGTAACTCTTTACTGAAAATGTAACTGGGAGGCCAAGAATAACCTCTAACTAGAAAGAGGACATCTAGAAGAACCTCTAATTAGAACGAGGAAACAGGAAACAGAAACAAATTATTTAAAATGTTTAAAAAAAAACAAAACTTACAGTAAACAAAAAATAAAAGCATAGCTGGGCACCAGTGGCGTATGCCTATAATCCTGGCTACTCAGGGGGATGTGAGATACAAGGACTGTGGTTCAAAGCCAGCCAGGGGAAGGAAAGTCCGTGAGACTCTTACCTCCAATTAACCACCAGAAAACCAGAAGTGGTGCTGTGGCTCAAAGTAGTAGAGTGCTAGCCTTGAGCAAAAGAGCTGAAAGATAGAACCAAAGCCCTGAGGTTCAAGTCCCAAGACAGACAAAATAAAAGATTAGCTGATAATGTTGAAAAAGGCCTAATGAAATTAAAACAGAGAGAATACAGAACAAAGGGAAAAGGGCAGGGTCAATCTAGAAGGCACTATATCTTACTGACAGGAATTACAGAAAGTGAAAGTAGAGAAAACAGAAGAGAAACAACACAGGACAAAGTTCCTGAACTGAAAGATGCTGAATCTACAGAATGATCTCCTGGAGGAACCAGCATCATGAGATTTATTGAAATCCAATCATTCTGAGACCCACTGGGAAAATGAGAAATCCTCAAGTCCTCTAGAAGATATAAACAGTACAAATCCAAAGAACCTTAAAATCAGAATAGATAAGGTACAACTGTATATAAAGATGGTGTGGGAAACCAAAATGAAAGCTGTTAACCGTAGGGCACTGGAAGGCTAGAGAACGGAAAAGCAACGCAGAGGCATTATTCTGAGCAAAATGCAATATGTACAATATTGAAAATACCATAGTAAAAACTCTTTGGTGCAATTAATTTAAAAAAAAAAAAAGCCAGGTGCTGGTGGTTCACACCTGTAATCCTAGATACTCAGGAAGCTGAGATCTGAGGATCATTGTTCAAAGCCAGCCCCGAAGTCCACAAGACTCCTATCTCCAATGAACCACCAGAAAACTGGAAGTGGCGTTTTGGCTCAAAGTGGTAAAGCGCTAGCCTTGAGCAAAAAAGCTTGGGGACAGTGCCCAGGCCCAGAGTTCAAGCTCCTCCACGATTAAAAAAAGACAAGGAAGCAGGCATGGATAAGGAGATAAGTACCAGTGGGTGGGAGGACTAACAAGGAGTATGAATGGGAATGTATATGGCCATCTTAGTTTATTTTCATGTGTGAAATAGTACAATCAGAACTGCTCCAGTCCTCTCAACTAGAACACTGCAAGCCAGAGCCCAAGGAACAATGAATCTAAAATTGAGAAAACAACTTCAAGTCAGGAATCCCATACCCGTTCAACTCCCAATTAAGCATGAGTGTGGAATAAAGACACATCCAGAGAGAGAAGACCCTAATATACTTCCCATGCACCTTTTTCAGGAAACTATTAAAGGATGATGCTTTTCTAAATGAAAGAAAGATGATGACATGGTAACAGCAGTGCTCATCAGCATAGTAAGCTTGGTAAGCACTTCCAGAGTATTGTGAAACAGACCTAGAAAATAAATATCAATTGCAAAGCATGGCTTAGGAAGATAAATGAACAAATGGGGGAAAAATGAGTTAATAAACCAAGAGCAATGCCTGCCAAGAGGCCAAAGCAAGAGAGATTGAGAGTTTCAGTCCGAAATGGACTACAGAGCAAAACCGTATCTCAAAACAAAATAAAACAAGACCAAAAACAACCACACAAAATCCAAGCAATGAAATGTTTTAGAAGGGAGGTATAATTATTGTATATTTTGTTGAGTATTACAGATGAGTAATCATTTTTTTTTTGGTCGATTATGGGGTTTGAACTCTGGGCCTGGGCGCTGATCCTGTGTTCTTCAGCTAAAGGCTAGCGCTCTACCACTTGAGCCACAGTACCACTTCTGGTTCTGAGTGGTTTATTGGAGATAAGAGTCTCACAGTCTTTCCTGCCCGGACTGGCTTTGAACCTCGATCCTCCTATCTCAGCCTCCTGAGTAGCTAGGATTACAGGTGTGAGCCACTGGCACCAGGCCATAATAATTTTTTTTTTAATCAACAAATAACAAATGGCAATTACACAGAAACAGAAGAAACTAGCAGACACTAACTTCTAGAAATTGGACTAATGACTGAAAACGGGTATCTCAGAAACAAGAGTCAGGGTTAAGGAAGGGTAGAAACTCCTGTTTTCTGAAATATCACTGGTATGACAACTTTGCAACCTTAGGGATATGTAATTGACAAGTACTCAAAAGTTAAAGCTTCCAAACTACTTGATTCATTTTCTGCTCATTATTTGGGCCTATATATGTTAAGAATAAAGAATAAAATCCCAAGCCAGTAAGGGATTTCTCCTACTCACCATCTCTCTGGCTATTTCCAGCGCTTCCTGCAGGCCATAGAGCCTGCCGCAGACCAGGTAGATTCCATTGGCCCAGAGAATACAACCCTCATGGACCCAAAATTCATTGCTGTCAAGAGGTAGTTCAGGGATTTGTAACTCCAGCTCAGGGCCACCTTCTGAAGTGGTGGGCAGGGAGGGTTTTGCGTCCAAAACAGTCTTTTCACTGCTGCCCTCAGTGGCTGCTTTTTTACAAGGGAGCCCCCTAGACAGGGACCGAGGGCCTCCTCCACAGTCCTCTGAGCGGTGGCGCCGCTTGAACCTGGGATGTGCTGCCAGGCTCCTCTGCTCCTTCTGCTGCTGCTGCTCCTCCTCCTCCTCAGTGTCCGTCTTGGAGCCGTTGGAAGCACTTTTGTGCCGAACTTTGACCTTGCTCTGCATCTCCATGGCCCTCTTAGGAGGAGGATTCTTAGGGAGCGTGGCTGCATAATCTTGGGGATAAAAGGGTCCAAAGAGGTCACCCATGTTCCGGTAACTTGCCCATTTGCCACACAGACAGCAGACCAGGTGTCCCATAACAGAAGACTCTGTCACTACAGGTCCCTGTAGCATAAAGGATGAAGCAGGGAGTGCCTTGCTTTCGGTGCTGCTGGGGGGAGGGGTCAGGGACCTCTGACCCTTCCGGCCCCTCACCAATTTGGTCTGTTCCTCTTCTTCAGCATTGATGATTGTACAAACGGCTCCAAGTTCACATTTATTTACTACATGAATATAAGGGAAAAAAGACTTGTTCTTGGCATCAGTTTTATCCAGTGGCTGGGTGGCATATTTTAGCTTGATCTCCGGCTCTTGGGGTTCTACGATGGGGACTGCTTGTTTGGTTTTTCGTTTCCTTGGCTGGGTCCCAGGCTTCCTTCTCTCCCTCCTCTGCCTCTGTTTTTTTGGCTTTGGCTCTCCATCAGTAGAACCTTCTGGTATCTGAGGGGGCTGAGGAGGTGGAGGGGGTGGCTGCTGCTGTTTCTTTTGCTTATTCACACTACCGATAGGTCTCCCCTTCTTCTTTCCTGATGGGAAATATCCCTTTGGAGGGAAGCTCTCTTGTTTGGGTGAAATCATGACTGTATCGATTTCCTTCTCTTCAGCCTTGGGGTTTGATTCCGGGGCCAATACACCTACTGGAGTTACATTCTTTGAGTCAGGAAAAACTAAAGGTGCTGTTCCACCCAAGGAACCATCTGGTCTCCCTTGGTTACTGCCAGGCTTCTGTGAGGTCGTGGGTGTCATGGCACCAGGGGGTTCCTTCCCGGTAGGAACAGTTTCTGGGTGTGTCTCTATCTTTACTTTGTCATCCCCACTGCCGCGCCACTCTTCTGAAGATCTAGGAAGAGGCTTTTCGGTGTTGGACTCCTGGCTGGTTGCACTGACCAGATCAGATACCACTTCGCCTTTTCTCTTCTCCACCTCTGCCTCTGGAGCAGCCGCAGCAACAGCCCCACCATCAGAGGGACCACTCTTCAGGGACAGTATGTCATCCAGAGTGACAGTGTCTGCCCCGGCCTCTGCACTGTTTGTGGATGCACTCCTCCTAATATTTGGGGATGTGATCTTCTGAACTATAGCTTCCAATTTCAGTCCCCGCCCTTTCCGTGGGGGCAGTATTTTGGTCTTAGCAGGGCTAGTGAGGGTAACAGCAGGGCAGTTTCTATTATCTGGGTTTGGGAGGTCCCTGGAGGAATCTCTCTTAGGGATAGACTTGATATCCTGACTGTGAGCAAGATGGGCATAGGAATTGAATGCTTTATCAGCACCTTCTTTGACTGGGTGAAGGAGGCGTCCTTTATCTTCAGTATTACTGTTCTTTATATCATGTGACTGTCTCTTACTGGGAATGGGAGAGATAAAAGATCGGACGCGCCTCCGCATGATTAAGGGGTTCTGAGAAGAATGATCTTCTTGACCTGGAAGCCTTAGCATTACATTGCTAGGTTTGGATGACTGTGTCGACTCAGCCAGCCCATGTCCATCTGTCTCATGGGGTGGCCCGTACCTCTTCTGATTGGACATTCCTGTAGGCCCACTACTTTTGGCAGAAGTCTGCCGAGAAAGATCCCAACAAGAGTCCTGTTGTAACTTCTGGGAGCCTTTGGAAGGCAATCCATCACTAGACATGAGGCAGCGCCCGGATTCTTGAATGCCGGGGTCATGGTAAGTCCCAACTGGTGGACCGTACATCATACCATCTTTGTCATTTTTCAGAGGGCTCCGGACTCTGTCAAGAAACTGCTGCTGCCGCGGGCTCTTCCGTGGCCCATCCTGCCTGTGCTGTGCAGCAGCAATCACTCCTTGAGCAGAACTGCTGCTCCAATCTTTATACTCCTCTTGTTGCTGTTGGTACATCTGTCTCTTATAGTGAAGCTGCGAGTTCAATCCAGCACTAGGGTCTCCATAAGCATGAGCTCGAGTGTTTGTGTGATAAGCAGAGGCCAGGCTCTCTGAGTTGGCAGAAAAGGGAGCGTGTAAAGAACTCCTGTTGGCCCTCTCTGTAAAGGTCATGTGTGGGTTCATGTGATGAGGATCTCCTCCTGGGCCTCTGCTCCTACCAGGAGACATCTTTAATTTTTCTGCAAAGTCATGATACTGAGAAGGGGATCGTCCCCTCATGGCCTCCCGACTACCAACTCTGCCAGGGACCCGCCGCATTGGTGTGGGTCTGCTGTCTTGTGGGCCATAGTCTGAAAGGGAATCGTGGGTTGCTGCCCCAGGGCTGGCATTGCCACGGTAAGACTCATGCTTTATGCTAGTAGGATGGCAGTGGTCTCCAGATTTCTTGTTGAAACTAGCTTGGGATTTAGACTGTTCAAAGTCTTCCTCTTTTATCTGCCCACTCTGGGATTTCAGCTTTGTTTCCATGGACACCAATCCACCTGGAAGAATGACCGACTGACTTAAACTTGGGTTGAGGCGTTCATTCCTCCCAATTCTGGAATCAGCACCCATGTGTCCCAGGGAGTGAGCCCCTGGGTCCCTGACAATTTGTCTTAGTGGCGAAATATCACAGATCACTGACCTCCTTTCAGAGAGGGAACCACCAGGCTCATGGGCTGATGAAGAAGGCTCTATCTCAAACTTTCTGGGAATTGGGTAGTCAGCCAAATTGATCTGTTTCATTTCAGGAGCTGTGCTGCTTGATTTCCTTTCCCAGGGGCCCCAGTGGGGATTTTCTAACAGGGATCCAATGCTTTTGTTCAGAAGGCCCCTGCTAGCTAATTCATTAGTCTGACTGACTAAGATGTTGGGTCTCGTGCTTCCTTCCAGGCCACCAGCCATACCCTGATGCTCCTGAGCACTCCTAGAATACCTCCTGTCCGGATGGTGGTGGTAACCCTGGAGCACTTCCTGTAGGAGGCTGGGGAATTTCTCATTTCTGCCCTTGCGCTCCCCATGGCCAGTGAAATCCCCCTTTTCCTGTCCCGTTGGATATTGAGGAAAGCCACTAACATTTCGTGGCATAGCTGACCCAAAACTCTCTTTGTAACTATAGCGCAGGCTTCCAGGAGACTTGCTAGGCTCAGTCCTGCCTGTGAACCCAGGGCCTGCTACAGAGTGGCCACTCTGACCATTGCCTTCTCCATTGTGGTTGGAGCTATTATCGCCATTCTTATTTCCTTTGTTTCCTCCTCCTGGGGGCTCGGGCTGTGGAAGTGATGTGTGACTGGCTTCCTTTGCTCCACTGTTGCTGGGTGGCCTCTGAATGACAGCAGCATCATCCTCTTGGGAGCTTTTATCTTGTCCACCAGGCTTTTCCACGCGGCCTGTCATGGCTTCTCGGGAGACTATCACCCCAACTGTCTTCTCATTGACCTTTGAGCTTCCATCAGGAGACAATGGGGTATCTTTAGTGCCTGGTGAGGTAGCCTCTTCTCTGGCTGCAGGACTGGCATTGAGTCTGGGGGGCTCATTCTGAGTGCCTTGTGCTGGAGAGGAGCCTGCTTTCTCTGAGGTCCCACCCTTATAGGTGGTGTCAGAGCTGGTGCTCTGGCCGCTTAGTTGCCTCACTCTCTCCCCCGGATCCTCCGAACTGCTAGAGCAGCCTCCATCCAATGACTCTGCCATAGGGGACTTCAGTTGTTCTTCAGGCTGTGAGGAGCCTTCTGAGTTTGTACAGCTATCTGCCTTCTTAGAGGAGGAGGGCCTCTTAGAGGTCTTCTTCTGAGGTGTCAGGGCATCAGAAAGTAACATGTGCTGGACAGTGTTAGGAAGATTGGCCACTTGAGTACTCAGAGCACTCAGACTACTCAACCCAGGATCTGTCAGCCTCTTTTCTGGTGCCCCTTCTAGTCCAAAACCTTTGAAGCCTGCAGAATGAGAATTGGGACTGGGCATCATTGATGGTGTTGGACTGAGCTGAGGCATTAGCTGTAAAATCCGGTTTCTGGAACCCATGGGCACATTGCCTTGCCCACACTGAAGATTGTCCCCACTCTGCATCAGAGGAGAAGGGGTGGAGCTACAGCTTGGAGACTGAACCACAGAGGCAGCTGGAGAAGGGTTAGATATAGGGCTAAAATTCTGGTGAAACTGCATGGGGGACCTCACAGGAACATCAGGCTGGTTGTACTGTCCCACTGGGCTTTGCAGGGGCAACTTCGTGGCAGTGTTGGTGTACTGCATCACATGCTGAGGGGGATGCTGTTGTTGCTGCTGTTGCTGCTGCTGCTGTTGCTGCTGCTGTTGCTGCTGCTGTTGTTGCTGCTGCTGCTGCTGCTGCTGCTGTGGCTGTGGCTGCTGCCCCTGCTGGGTCCCTTGTGGAATCTTCGCCTGTTCAAAATTTTTCATGGATTGAGGTTGATAGCTGTAATTTGATTGTGTCCCATAAGCCTGTGCGTTAGAACCCACATTATGCCCTTCGTACTGGGATCCAGCATTCACACTGTAACTACCATCATAGCTCTGCCCAGACTGGCTGAAACGCTGTGGTGAAGGAAAAGAGGAGGAGGAGGAGGAAGCAGAAGACTGGTAGTGTTGGCCAAACTGACCCACTCTTAACTGGTAACCAGCAGCAGAGGACGGCAGAGTTGAGGGCCGCTGCATTGGCTGCAGATGGGATGAGCCAGAGGCTGGCTGGCCAGTAGCTTGTGGCAGAGGCTGATGGGATTGGTAAAGCTGCTGTCTCAACTGTTGTACTTGCTGCTGCTGCTGCTGCTGGCTAGAAGCCTGCTGTTGGTACTGAGCACTGCCCGGAGAGAAAGGCCCTGTGTAATCCTGTTGATAATGAGACACACCACCCAGGGCAGAATGCTGTGCTTGAAACTGGCCCACATGACCCTCACTCCCATACTGATTGCCAAAGCTGCTCCCCTGGGGGGGTCCGTAGCTCTGCACAGGCCCAGAAGGTCTTCGCTGAGGCGGCTGTGGTGTTCCTGCTGCCACAGGGTCTTTGTTGCCTGCCATGTAGTAAAAATCTCCAGCCTCTTTCCTGAAACCCTGATAGCCTTGATGGCCAGAGGTCTCACTAGCCATTGCTGCTGCAGCAGCCACTGTTCGTCGTCCGCCGCCACCGCCACCGCCACCGCCACCACCACCACTACCACCACCTGCACTCCCAAAATTCTGGAACATCTGGGCCTGCCGAGGGCTAAACTCTTCTATCCGGGATGAGCCATGTACCTCCTGTGGGTAGCTCTGCTGGTTTCCGTGGTAACTGCTTTGCTCCCGAAAGGACTGCATGCTGTTCAGTAGCACAGCAGCAGGCCAACAGCCCTCCTGGAGAAGGAAGAAGAGAGAGAAATGCATGAGCCACAGCACCTTGGCACAAACAAAATCAAGCCTAAGACAATTTAGCCCACGTGAAGCTGATTTGAATTTCATGTCCTTTCTTATTCTATCCATTTCTGATCATGAGAATAAGAAAAAGAAAGAAATGGTCTGAAGAAGGGAGGTGTCCCAACAGAATTTTTGAAATGACCCAAAATATATACAAATTCACTATAGCTCTTAAGGAATTTATTATTAGAATAACTGTCCAAAAGAAAAAAACAACAACAATCTGTTTCTTGGAGGGGGTGTTTGCCCAGGCTGATACTGAACTCTTCATTTTCCTGCCTGAAAGCTAGATTTATAGGCATTCACCACCACATCAGCTAAAAACAAATTTTAAATGAGCTTCCTAGTTATGGTGGGAGAAGTGTGAAAAGGGCTCCCCTCTTTGCATTCATGTATTAGACTGACCACTAAACTGAGAGCCCCAGTAGGGTGAGGTGTCACTCTACTGGATACCCACCTACTCCAAACCTACCCGCAACTGAAACAGATAAATGCAGCCAGTGACTTAATGTCTAAACACACACTTTTGCAAGGTTACTGTATTTGCCAGCTACCTGTGGTGACAAGTGACTTAAGATATTCAACCTCAACCACTGGATGGGTTCTTTATGCTGCAGCCACCCAGATCAGCTTTGGGACCCACCTCTTCAAGTATAATTGTATAAAGGCATTCTTCTCAATTCCCAGGCACAAAGGGCTAGATTTGAGCCAGAAAGTAACAGTGAATATTCTTTCAGCCTTTTTTAGAGGTCTTCAAGAAGTTCCAGCCCCTCTAACCTCATGGCATTTCATTTGCTAATCTAGTATTTTTATTATTGCTATCCCTATAAATGAAGGAGCTAAAACAGTTATTTGGGGAACAGCAAAAAAAAAAAAAAAAAGTGACACAAATACCAAGTCCAGGACCCAGACTCTTCCCAATTATCTTATTGAGACACCATTTTGTACTGCCTTTGCTAATGTATCATCTTATTTAAGTTAACTGAGATGTGGTTTTATTTTTTTCCTTTGCCTTGACTTGTCTCCTCCTCACAGTCAGACATGAATAGGACATCAAATCACTCCAAATGGCTTTAAAAACCAATTGTTTAAGAAGTTACGAAACATACAAACTAGGGTGGGATCCTAATAGACAATTTTCTTTCTTTCTCTTTCCTTCCCTCTTTTTCCTTTTCTTTTCTGGTCGGTTGTGGGGTTTGAAATTAGGGCCTGGTCATTGCTCCTGAGCTGTTTTGCTCAAGGCTAGTGTTCTACCACTTTGAGCCACAGCTCCACTTCTGGTTTTCTGGTGGTTAATTGGAGATAAGAGTCTTACAAACTTTCCTGCCTGTGCTGGCTTTGAACTGTGATCCTCAGATCTCAGCCTCGTTGAGTCACTAGGATTACAGGCGTGAGTCAGCAGCACCTGGCGAGTTCTCAATCTCTCTCTCTATATATATATATTCCTAATAGACAATTTTCTTACAATGATTTATAAAGCCTTCTCAAGAAAGGTTAAAATGGAGCTGCCCACAAAAATCAGTAACCCCTTACCAAGTGAAGTAGATTCATCTACTTGCTTCTCGGTCAGGCCCACAACACTTCTACATAGGAACTGTTCTCCCTGTTGTGCTCTGCCCTACTATACATATGGCTTGTCCTTCTCACCTCTTTCCACTCTGGGCAAATATCACCTGATATAAGGTCTTCCTTAGCCTTCCAATACCACTTGTTTGCTGTATATGCTACTTGTTTACTGTCTATCTCTAGAGACTAGAATATAAACTTCATAAAGGGCAAGGACTGTCCAATCCTAGCTATAATCTGCATGTTATTCAAACAGCAGTTTGCTGAATGATTAAATGATACAAAAAACTAGGTCTCAGAACTAGGCTAGAAGTCATATATTCAGAGATGATACTGAAGGAGTGAAAGAAGAAAGAAAAATAGGGTGTGTTCTGTCTTAAGGCAGAGCTAGAGGATGTTGATAAGCTGCCTGTTCTAAGGGAAAGCCCAACTTAATTGGAGCTACATGAAAACTGTGAGGAAAGACCTCAGAAGTAAATACAGATCACAGTGGAAAATGGTTAGTAACCTTAACCTCTGAAAGCCTGAGCCACTTCTGAAATGTCTTAAATAGCTAGACAGGGCTTTGTTCTTTAAAATTCTGATTATACAGAAGCAGAATTATGACCCAAAGCCATCTCGTAAGATTCACACACAAAAAATATCCAGATCTAGTTTGGAATTGGTGGCTCATGCCTATAATCTTAGCTTAGGATGTTGACCAGTTCACAGTTCGAAGCCAAAGCTGTGAGACTCTCATCTCCAATTAACCAGCAAAAAACCATATATGAAGCTGTGGCTCAAGAGGTAGAACACCAACTATGAGTGTAAAGCTCTACGGAGAGCAAAAGGTGCTGAGCTTGAGCCTCAGTACTGGCACTGCAAAACAAAACAAAACAAAACAAAATACATCTAAAGGAAACTGCTTCTCATCTGCTTCCAACACTGAGACTACTTTCTCTGTTCCAATGAATCTACCAACAGGTAATTGGCCATTTATGTATGCACTATAACGCTCAATACTTCCAGCATTTACATGCAATAGCTCATTTAATCCTAGCAACACAAGCATTCTCATTTTACAGATGAGGAAATTTAGGCATGAAGTTCACTAAGCTCCTGAGAGTCAGGGCGGAGAGCTGTGTGGCCGGCACCACACAGTTCCCACACACTTTCTTCATGCTACGCTTCCCAGATGATATTCCACAAGGTCAGTAACAGATGCCGCTTGTCCTGCCAGAAGTTGGCCTTGAAAGTAGGCAGCTGCCGACAAAGTGCTGCTCTCTCGCAGGACCTCCAATGCTGTTCCAGCTGTCTGTCTCTACCTCTTCTATCGTTTCAGAACTGTGAAGAACTGTCAGCGGTCCATGTGTGTATTTCTGGTTGCAGCATGCATCCATTCTAGTTCTTAAGTACCAATGGCCGCCTTCAGATGATGAAACAAGGCTGACAGGGGCCAACCTGAACAAAAACTTAGCAGCTCAAAGAACGAAAAGCTGTCTTGAGAGCTGATTTCTATAAATATTTTACATGTAGTTTAATTAACTACTATAAATAAAACCAGGTTTCTGAAGATTTGGTGCCCTGCTCTGTTTTTCTAAATAGGAGCCTCTGAGCTAAGACCACTTTAGACATCAGCACTGGGCCTGCGGCTGCCCGGCTAAAAAACTATCTCTACAGAGAAAGAACGGTTCCTCCATAGGGTTCTCCCAGCCTCTCTCCACATTCTCTGTCCTGTACCATGCCTTTCTTCCTACAGTTAAGAGTTGTGTGCCTGAAGAACACAAATCTATAGCCAGCATCTCCTTCAAGGTACTGGTCAAGCTAAATGTTCTCAGCACACGGGAAGCACAAGCACCAGAGAATGGCTGCAAGCTTATCTTTATTAGAGTTCCAAGTAAACAACTAGGAAAGCAAACATGCCAGCAGTAAGAAACATAAACCTGAAGTACTTGAAATTTTACTATAGCATATAAAGTAAGATAATAAATATCATCCCAATAGTATTCTATCATTATTTACTGGAACTTCAACTAGGGCCTTGCACATGCAAGGCAGAAGCTCTACCAATGAGTCATGCTACCAGCATTTCTTTGCTTGTTATTTTTGGAATGGGCCTTTCTATTTTTTTACCTGAAGTAGCCTGGAACTGTGATATTCCTACCTAGGCCTCCTGTATAGCTAGGACTGTGGACATGTGCTATGGTTAGTTGCTAAGAATTCAGATTTACTTTTTTTTTCCCCCATAAGCTGGCCTAGCACCACAATCATTCTACTCTCTATCTCACAAGTAGCCACTATTTCTTAAAGAAGAGCATTAGTGCAATCAGTTTAGAGCGTTGTGATTAATGGCAAATGCCCTAATTTCCTTGTTTGACTAAATTCATGTACTAAAGTAAACTCAGCATAGTGGTACAAGCCTGTAATGCCAGCTACTCAAGAGGCAGAAGGCCGTGTGCCAGTGGCTCATACCTGCAATCCTAACTACTCAGGAGGCTGAGATCTGAGGATCATGGTTCAAAGCCAACTCAGGCAGGAAAGTCCACGAGACTCTTATCTCCAGTAAACCTCTCAGAAAATGAGAAGTGGCGCTGTGGCCCAAGTAGTAGAGTGCTAGCCTTGAGCTGAAGAGCGCCCAAACCTAGAGTTCAAGCCCAAAGACAGACAAAAAAAAGGAGGCAGAAGGCATGAGAATTGGGGATTGAAGTTAGCCTGGGAAGTTATTCAGACTCTATCTATAAAACAAAATACAAACAAATGGCTTAAGGTGTGGTTCAAGTGGTAGGCTAGCATGCCTGAGGCCCTGGACAGAAAAACAACAGTGTAGTAAGGAAAATTTGATACCCCAAAAGAAGCCAGTCACCTGTAAGGAATTTTCATAGATACTGAACAAAGAAATTGACCTACTTCACTTCCCTCCCTGTTCTTTTTTTCTCGTTTTCTCACAGCAGTGAAGACAAGAACTTTATACCACTGCATTCCAGAGTCTGAGTTCTGTTGGGCTGCGGGAAGGCCAAGGATCTTGAAACTTTATAGAAACCCAACATTAACTTTCTTTTGTCCTTGGCTGTCACATGTTCTCTAAGTTATTCAAATTATCTTCAAGAAAGTTTATCTCAGAGGCTGAGGTGTGGCCCAAGTGTTTCTACAAGCTTGAGACTCTGAGTTCAGATCTAGACCTGGGAGGTGAGAAAACAGGCAAAACATCCACAAAGGAAATTCCTCATCTCCCTAAATGTATCCTATCTTTGCAGTAGACCTTTCATGCTTTAGGCAGAATGTGGTAGTACACATCTATAATCCCAGAAGGTAGATTATGAAGTATGTCTCATTGGTAGAGCAAGGGTGAGGCCCTGAGATCTAACCACAGTATTGTCCAAATAAAGAAACAA